TCCATTTATCCAATCCACATTCCCTTAACTTGCTGGCAAGAATATTGTGGGAGACCGTATCAAAAGCCTTGCTAAAGTCAAGGTATATAACATCCACTGACTTCCCCATGTCCACCGAGCCAGTTACTTCATCATAGAAGCTCATCAGATTGGTCAGGCACGACTTGCCCTTTGTGAATCCATGCTGACTATTCCTAATCACTTTCCTCTCATCCAAGTGCCTCAATATGGATTCCTTAAGGATCCCTTCCATGATTTTTCCAGGAACCGAGGTAAGACTGACTGGCCTATAGTTCCCTGGATCATCCTTCTTCCCTTTTTTGAAGATGGGCACTACATTTGCCTTTTTCCAGTCATCTGGGATTTCTCCCAATCTCCATGACTTTTCAAAGATAATGGCCAAAGGCTTCTCAATGACATTTGCCAACTTCCTCAGTTACTACTCTTCTGTTACTTTTGGATCTGTTGCAGATAGTACATTTGCAAATGATGCTGCCCACCAGGTTTGCAAGGGATATGTCCAACACTTTGACTACCTATAACGATATTATATATGTTTATGACTATTAAACTTGTTTTGTGGATCATATTTAAGTTAGTTTTGTGTGTGATGGTTCACGGGTATGTATTTTTGGGGCCATACCTGTATCTTAAATGGTCTCAAATCTGTATCAGAGGACATGAAGGGTAGAATGAGTCCAACCATCTCTCAATTATTACCACTATGGCAGCAAGAGAGAACCCTTGCAGTAGCTGCCACCTTCTCTGTGCAATGTAATAACATTAGTGCTAGCTTTGAATATTGCTATTTAAAGAATTGGCAATGATAGTTTTTTTGCCCATTGTCTCAAAATACTAACCCCCTCCTTAGTGCACATAACAAAACTTATTCTACACATGGATGGAAAAAAATTAGAGAAAACACTGCGCTTGAACCCCCTGCCAACTTTGTCAGATATTTAAAGACTAGACCTCTCCTTGCATGCAGGAACTGGTGAGTTCAAACTGGTGAAGCTTCACTGTTGCTTGATGGGCACTCCAGGTGCCCCTTATGTAGGAGGAGGACATATTCATGACCAATGTTCCATATGTTGCTCCTTCTCAAACAGCTAGAGAAGCCTTCCTAAAGGTTACCCTTCTAAGTACTCCATACAAGCTACCAGGAATCCTAAAATGAAAGATTTTGCTTGAACTCAGACTTCTGGTAAATCCCTCTCCATGAGTGCCATGGTGAGCATGAATTCCACCATGAACTCCTCGGTTAAATTAGCCCAGAGACTCAAGTTCTTCTTTGAGTATATTTCCCTATGGAAGCACAAGCATATGGTTCAAGCACATCCATATGCTCTCAACTGGGGATTATAAATAGAAATGGCCATAGGTCAGTGCCAGAGCAGAACAGCACCTCATTTCCCACGTGGGCACATATGAGGTGAAGTTCTGCCACCATTTCAGTTCCTTCCCAGTTACCTGTGGCATAAGGCAGAGCAATTGCAGCTTTCCTGACATTTACAGCTTTTCTGTCTTTTCTCTTACTCTTTGTTTTTCTGTGTTTATTCAGTTATTTCTAGTTAATTTTTTCCCCAGTTTTAACGTAATGTATGCAAACTTCTTGCCTTATCATTGGCAGTGGGATGGGAAAAGAAGTTCTCTGTTCCCTTGGCCAGAATGTAATATTTTGTATATGCCCACTTACAAGTTGGCAGATGTTTATCATAAGAAATAATATTGCCTTATTAATGGGTAGAGCAATTATACTCTTAAGGTGGTATCACAGCCATAATATCATCAGACTAGAAGTGTGATCAGCAGGAGAAGAGGAGGAACAGTTTGGTTCATTTAAAATTTTTAATTCATTCAATTCTTTATTTTCTTTCACATATAATGCCACTCCCCCACTAGCACAACTGTTCTGTCTTTCCAATATATTTTGTATCCTAGTATTACTGTATCCCATTGTCTATCCTCATTTCACCAAGTCTGTGTAATGCCTATTATATTAATAATCTCATTCAATACAATGCACTCTGATTCACCCAACTGCTAGCATTGTATGTAAGCCCTTTAAAAAACTTATCACTATTGAGTTGTACGCCATTACATGTTGTAACTGAATGAGACTCTTTCATTTGACTGTTTCTCATCATATCTTAATAATATTTTATCATCTTCCAAACTTTCCTCTTTACTAGGATATAGAGAATCTCTATTAATAGACCCTCCCCTAAAGGATGTCTCTGTCTGATCTATGTGCTCTTTCATATCTGTCAGCTTTCCCTTGACCCTTAGTTTAAAACCTAATCTACAACCTTTTTAATTTTAAGTACCAGCAATCTGGTTCAGTGCTCCCTCTAACATTTGCAATACTTGAGCAGGTTGAATTTTCTTATGTGCAACATCAATATTGAGGTCATGTGTGAATGTGCACCACCAGTACAAGCCAAAAACCTAGGTATAAATATATATTTTATTAAACTGGCCCTACATATGGAAGAAGAAAATTTTTTAAAACAAGGGATAATGATCAAGGATCAATGCTTAAGATGTTTATTTAATATGAAATCAAATAAGAAAATTAACACTACCCTTGGAGTACATGTATTTTATCATCCTGTCTAACAACTCACTTTAGTAAACACACCAAAATGGGCATACTGAAAACAGCTTTATAAATAAAACAAAGACACGGCCTTTAAGTATAAAAAATAAGTGCCAGAGCCACAATTTAACAACCTACTCCCTTAGACCACTAAATTTTCAGAATTTCCGCTAAAGCTACTCTCAAAAAAATGAAGCATCTAGCTTCACTAGCATTTTGCAGTTCATAAAACTATCTCTCTTGCATGCATATTATCCACACATAAGCTCAACTATAAGATGCTAAATAAATATCAACTAGAAGTAGTCATGCTCTCCTTGCATACATTAATGCAATATTTAGTGACACTAGAAAAGAGAGTAAAAGGCATTCACTCAGGCTTACAGTATATAGTTTCTCTGGGATGTCAACTCAATCTAATTTATTGTGCACAAATAGAACAGAAAAACACAATAAAGCAACACAGATAGCAATCAAAGCCACAAACAACTGACAGTTTTGAAAATACAAAGGGAAGTAAAACATCAAGTGGTTGGTTATGGATATTTTAAATGAATGTTTAGGATCCATTCTATGGAAGTGAAACAGAGGCCTGTAAAAACAGATAAAAGTTCTCCTGGTTTTAAACTTTCACATAGTGTATGTTACCAACTCAAAGAGTAGAAGCCCCAGAGCACATTAACACATGGCTTCAGAGTGTAGTAGGGATGTGAAGGACTAGTCAACTATCTGATATGCAAATGCTTATCAATTAGTTGACATGCTAGTCAACTAGTCGCTTCCCCCACCCCTTGCTGCCTCTATCAGAAAGAGGCAGCGGGGGAGGGGGGAAGGAAGAGGTACTTCAATGTGGCAGCGCCACTTGAAGCCTAGGGCCATACCCTGGGCTCCAGGTGGTGCTGCCACTTTGAAATGCCACATTCAGCCTGACGTTAGGCACCCTGAGGCATTTCAAAGTGGCAGTGCTGCGTGGAGCCCGGGATCAGCTGGGGACTCCCCCGCTGAACCCAGGTTCCATGGATCACTGCTACTTTGAAATATCATGGGGAGCCCGGCATCAGGCTCTTCCAGGAGTTTCAAAGCAGCAGAGCCACATGGAGCCCAGGATCAGTTGGGGACTCCCCCACTAACCGAGGGCTCTGTGTGGCACTGCTGCTTTGAAACGCCTCAAGGAGCCCGGCATCAGGCTGCAAGCGACATTTCAAAGTGTCAGCACCACGTGGAGCCCAGGATCAGCTGGAGCCTTGATCCGGTTCCATTTTGGTTTAGGTGGAGCCCATCTTTCCTGTATAGACTCCTGGTTTCCCAAAAGTTTCCTCAGTTACTAATAAATCTAAACTCCGCCTCACTATGCCATTATTTCATTAATGCATTGAGACCCGGCAATTCTGCCTGTCTACCTGGGCCTGTGTGTGGAACTGGAAGTATTTCAGAGGATGCTACTGTTAAGGTCCTGGATTTCACTCTCTTTCCTAGCAGCCTAAATTTGGTCTCCGGTGCCTTTCTCCTAGCCTTCCCTGTGCCATTAATACCTACATGTACCACGACCACCAGCAGTACATATAAGTCTATGTAGATGTCTCAGGAAAGCCACAATCTTTGCACTAGGCATGCAAGTCACCAGGCAGTTCTCCCAGTCATCACAAACCCAACTGTCTATGTTTTTAATGATCAAATTCATCATTGCTAGCACCTGTTTTTTCCTAATAACTGGAGTTCCCTCCCCTGGAGAGGTATCCTCAATGCAAGAGGATACCGCAACATCATTTGGAAGGAGAAACCCAATTATGGAATCATTTTCCTCTGCTCCATATCAATGGCAAAGGACCTGAATAAACACTATCTTTTGGGATACAAAATCTATTCATCTGCCAGTCTCTGGGTGTGCATGGCTAATTAATAGCTCTCCTATCTAAATTGGACTATGTGATGTGGGACCTAATATCTTACTTTGTGGACAAGGTGCCACAGGAACAAAGAGAGGAACTAAAGCCATCATTCCAAGGGACAACCTTTAACCCTTCAAGCTGCAGAGTACACATCCAGTACAGTAGAATGTGCTATGGTCATATTGGAGGAGATGTGATATTCCCAAGGAAGTCCTATTCACAATTGAAGACCTTCACTTTGATGATAATTTTAACTTCAAAAACAGGGTCCTCCATTTGTTGAAGGACTCCAAAATTACACTGCATTCTTTGGGCCTTTACTCTCCAGCCCTAAGAAGGAAGCAAATAAGACCATAAACTTTCGCCAGGAAGCATCCCTCTGTCCAGTATTATTATCAGCCTCAAAGGCACTTGGTGCCACCAAGGAAAAAAAAAATCAGAATTTCCAGCAATGATACTCCTTTGCTGTTGCACAATTTATGTCTTCTGCCAGAGAAAAGGGTTGATACCAGTGTCTAGAGCGTGACAAACTCCCAAGGATTCCCTTTTACTCCCTTTGATGATGCACACTTATGTTTAGAAAGTCTGGTCTTGTTTTATCTTGAACTGGTGGGTCCTGGAAACTGTCAACAAAAGGTATTCTAATTCAAACCCCTTTTCAGGGACCCTTCTCATGAGATATTCTTTAAACAAATGGACTTCCTTCTACAACTTGGAACAATGGAGGAAATATCGTTAGAGTTCAGGGGTCAGGGTTTTTATTCACACTATTTTTTCATCCTAAAGAAAAAAGGGATTGGTATTCCATTCTGGATCTTGGATGTCTCAGTAGATTGACTGTATTAAAGTTCATGAGGGTGACTTGGGTTGGTCTAAATGAGTCCCTCAGAGCCTGAAGATGTGTTCACATCCCTCAAAGAACAGGGGAGATTAAGGCTTATACTGCATTTCAGAAGATCAGGGTTACTCTCAAACCCCATCCCAAGTTCTTGTCAAAAGCTGTTTCAGAGTTCCAGGTGAATCAGTTTATCCATCATCATTTTCTTCTCCAAGCCACATTCAACACTGGCAAAAGAATCTTCACACACTTGATGTAATGTATGGGCATTTTCCCTACCAGGACAAATTATTCAGGAACATACTTAGACTATTCATAGCCTCTGCTGATTTAGTTACAAATAGATAATATCTTAACTAATATTAAAATTTCCAACTGTATAAAAATAAGTTACAAGATAGCCAAGTTAGAGCCAATTAGTTACATTACAGGTCATTCCATTTGAGCTCAGGCCATCTCTGCTGCTTGTTTGATGAATGCACCTGTTTCTGAAATTTGTAGGGCAGCAACAAATGTGTACTTCAGTCTACACATTCACAGATATTTTCCTTTGATAGAAAATTCCAGATTAGATGCCCAAATGGTAAGATTGTCCTGCAATCATTATTTAAATAGGACACCTAGTACCCATCTTCAGGTGCATAGATAAGAGTAGAATCCATGTGGACAAAGAAAAGGAATTACTTAAACTTCACAGTAATTGTGATTCTTTCAGATGTGTTGTCCACATAGATTCTGACACCTGTCCTACCACTCCACTAACTATGGAGTCCTAGTCTTTTGGGATTCTATATTGGTTAAGGAACAGAGGACCTGGACTTGCTTTGCCATGTATGTCTTTGAATGCATATGTGTACACTGGGGTGCAGGGTGATGAGAGAAATCTAGAGTGTAGGTGCTGTCCCAGTGGATAGTGCTGGCAAAATAATCTGATCTCATGTGCAATTTAAATACTTACAGTTACTGCAAGATAAGTAACTGGTCTTTTTTGGAATGTACAAAGTTTAATTTTACATCAATATTAAGCATTTCCATGCATCAAGCCAATACTTACACAATCACAAAGTAATACAATAATCTCCCTGAATTATTATTCACTACACTAACGTAACCTTGGCTATTACACAATTTATTATGTGAGAAATTAAACTGTGTGGTGTTAAATATTTGGTCATATATTCCAAACAACCTGCAATTCTGTAAAATACAGCATAACTCTGTTTTGTTTTCAGGAATCACTCTCTATTTCTGGAAAGGCTTACAATGTGCTGAGCTCAAGGTCTTCAGAATTAAAAAAGGATCCAAAACATTAACGAGGTGGCTCTATCTTACTTGCTCATTGCAGAACAGTTCAGTGATTACAAGTTTGTGGCATAAATAAAAAGTCAATGGCCTCTGTACTCTGGTTTGGAAGCCTTATTATTTTATATATCAATGTACAGATTAGTCTAGATCTGAGTTCTATTATGACAGAAAATCCTTACACAGCAATGTAAAGTATAACAGATAGAATCTGAATGGCAAAAACTGAGTAAAGCCATCCTTTTATTTTTAACAATTTAACAGAATTGATTTGATTATACTAATTCTTAACCAGACTTGAATTTCGTATCTTGTATGGCACTTCCTACGGTAGGATTAAAAAAACCTAAGATATATTTTAGAGTTGTTTCCAAAGTTTGTATCTGATCCTTAAATGCCTTCTTGCCAAATAAGTCTGAAAAACAGTTATAGTACATGAAGATTATTACAAAACAAATTGAGAAATGCTGCAACATATGCTTTATCTTTTGCAGGTGGCTGAGAGAATGTGGTGGATTTTTTCCCTCTTCCTTATCATTTTTCCAAGCTAACAAATAATGAGTGTGGGCCAAATTAATAGGCATCATGGCACTCATTGTAATAGTTGTCATGGTTAGAAAACTAACCTAATTTGTAATAGAATTTTTTATAGTTATGCCAGTTTAATCAGTATTGAAGAAATATGGCCTGACTCTTTGCAATCCTGTCTTTAAAAGTCATTAACAATCAAGGGGAGTTCTTAAAAGGTCTTGGTCTATAAAGATAGAATGATGACTGTGAGCACAACATCAAGGATATGTGGTTTAGCTTCCCCCTAATTCAAGGGTTCTAGGAGAGAAAACTGGGAGGTGCATAAATTCCAAAACAATCTTGATTAGAAACTTGAAGCCCTGCTAAACCCAGGGTTGTGAGTTCAATCCTTGAGGAGGCCATTTAGGAATCTGGGGCAAAATCTGTCGGGGGGGGTATTTGGTCCTGCTGTGAAGGCAGGGGTCTGGACTCGATGACCTTTCAAGGTCCCTTCCAGTTCTAGGAGACAGGCATCTCCATTCTTTAAAAAAACAAACAAAAAAAACTTAATAGTCCTTATGGAACACTATGAAATGAATCAGCCACGAGGGCCTAAATTTCCTCTGCTCTCCAAACTGAAGGCAGTCTTTATGGACAGGTGATCGGAGAACTCATTAGACATAACAACACTTAACTGAGGTTCCAAGAATGCAGAGGTTCAAGCACTGTGAAAATAAGTGTATGTGACCTTTGAGAAATTTAGCAGTTATAGGATGGAAAATATGGTATATTGCCCTGAACAGGAGAATATTGTGCAAAAATTGATGTGAAGTATAACCTTATAAACAGATGGAAAGTGCCACTAGACTAAAGCAACAGCAATGGGATTTTCCAAAGGAGGCAGGTGATGTTGACTTAATTTTGTAGTGTAGACTTGCCCTTCTGCTTCACGCTGTCTGCAGCATCAATTCACTGGAAAGAGAGGTTTTTACTTTCACTTCTTTTATTAGCGTGGCTAAATTATCAGGCGGTGCAGGTGGGTTATCAGTTCCGTCTATGGGAATGGGTGACTGCACAAAATTTCTGAGATGGAAGACTAGCGAATGCTATTTTGATAGAAGGACAATATGGCAAAACATGCCCAAAGAGCATCTTTTAATGCTTCATACTCTTCTGTTACTTGGAGGAGAGATGCTTTGCTCTGTTCATTTTCCATGGCTGAAGGCACTAATATTAAAGTTGAAGATGTCTCCTTAAAAGGGGATGGTCTTTTTCAGTAATAAGATTGATGAACTGTTAGAAAAATTAAAGGAAATTAGATCCATTGCTCATTCAGTGGGTTTTTATCCATCAATCAAAGGGAAAGCTTCTACTCCTTTTTGATGGACAATTTTACTCTCCGTTATAATTATTTTTCCTCAATTCAGAGACATCAGCAACAGCATCAGCAATGTACGTCTTCTTTCCAGAGCCAGCACAAAAAGAGGTCTGTCTCTAAGCTTAAGATGAAACAGCCTACTTTTCATTCTTCATCTTCATTGAATGCTAGGAATCTCATATGATATGAGGATTGAGAGTCATTGGCTAACTATCAAAGACACCACTCTTATTTTATTTGGAGACAGGCTAGCCCAATTCATCAAAAAATGGAAACTGATTACATTGGATTTATGGGTCCCTGAAATTAAAGAGAAGGGCTATGCCGATCAGTTCAAAAAACAAACCCTCTTTAAATTCCTCCTATCTTTCCCTTTTCAGGGAAACTTCTCATGGGGTTATTCTACTTGCAGACAAACACAAATTGCTCCAGATAACAGCTGTCAAGGGATATACCCAAACACCTGTGGGATCAGGTTTTTGTTCAAGATACTTTCTAGTATAGAAGAAAGATGGTGATTTTCATCCAATTTTAGATTTAATAAAAGTGAACAGATATGAATCAGAATATCTAGACATATGTTAACACTAACCTCCATAATTCCTTCACTTGTAACTAAGGATTAGTTCTCAACTCTTGATTTAAAGGGTGCATCTTTTCATATTTCTGTCCAGTGCAGAAATAAAAAATATCTTCATTTTGTAGTAGCTCTACTGCATTTTCAGCAGAAAGTCCTCTTGTTTGGCATGACCACTGCATCAAGAGTTTTATAAAATGCCTTCTGTGGTAGTGGCACATATGAGAAAACAGAATATTTTTGTTCAACAACCATTCAGGTAAAGGCTGCATGAGGATCAGGTTACTTACCTGTAACTGGATGTTCTTTAGGATGTATAGTCCCTATGGGTATGTCTACACTACAAAGTTAATTCGAACTAACAGACGTTAGTTTGAATTAACTTTGATAGGTGCTACACAAGCACTCTGCTAGTTCGAACTTAATTCGAACTAGTGGGAGGCTAGCCCTCCCCAGCTTTCCCTGGTGGCCACTCTGGCCAATACCAGGGAAACTCTACTGCCCCCCTCCCGGCCCCGGACTTCTTAAAGGGGCACGGGCTGGCTATGGTGCCCGTGCCAGGTGCAAGCCTGCCAGCACCCAGCTAGCAGACCCTGCCCCTGGCACGGCTCGAGCCAGCCACCCGATGCCCCCCAGCCCTCCCCCTCTTCCCGGGACCAGGCTGGCGGCTCCGGGGAGCCTGCCCGGGACCGCAAGAGGCAGGGGCCCGCCTGGTCTAGTGCGGATATCGTGGACCTCGTCCATGACCTCCACACTAGGCACAGGAAAGCGGCCGGCTAAGCAGGAGAGCTGCCAGCCTGGCCACCCAGGAGCAGGTGTGCATGAAAATCAAGGGGGTCCATTGAGACCCCCGACCCTGAGCCCTGAACTTACAATGGCCGTACTCGGTCAGACCAAAGGTCCATCTAGCCCAGTAGCCTGTCTGCCGACAGCGGCCAACCCTAGGGACCCTGGAGGGGATGGACCGAAGACAGTGACCAAGCCATTTGTCTCATGCCATCCCTCTCCAGCCTGCCACAAACTTTGGGCAGGGACACCCCTCCTACCCCCTGGCTAATACCACTCCATGGACCCAACCTCCATCAGTTATCTCACTTCCCTTTAAACTCTGTTCTAGTTCTAGCCTTCACAGCCTCCTGCAGCAAGGAGTTCCACAGGTTGACTCTTTGCTTTGTGAAGAACAACTTTCTGTTACTAGTTTGAAGCCTGCTACCCATTCCTTTCCTTTGGTGTCCTCTAGTCCTTCTATTATGGGAACTAATGAAGAACTTTTCTGTATGCACCCTCTTCACCCCACTCATGCTCTTATAGTGGAAGATGATGGAACCATGGAATGGAGAACAGCTATGCCATGCAAGGCACCCATCAGAGTCTCGCACCAAGATGCAATGGAAAGGGAAGGTATGTACTGAACTCCACGTGGCTGATGTACATATATCAGTACATGGTACATCATGAAGTGCAGTTGCAGTCAGTGCTTGCACTCTTGTGGAGCAGGAACATGTCCCAAAGCAGGGATACAGTCCTGATAATTGATGAGTAATGCATCCCAAAATACACTTAGAAATCCTATGAGTTGAGATGTCTCAGCCCTTAACCTTTACTGCTATGGTGATGAATTGTCTAAGGACTTTCTGAATGATCCCTTTCTCTGAAGGTCTAGAAGTCAGGGACTTGTGGACCTTGAGAAAGTCAAGGCACTGATCCTCTATTGAGGCATGCAGGTTCAGAAAGAAAGCAGGAAGTGTGTAGATTGGTTGAGATGAAAGTGGGATACAACCTCCGGTGGAAGTTTGGGGTGGAAGCTCAGGGAAACTTTGTCATTATGGAACATAAAGTGGGTAGTCTGCCATTTTGGACCTCGATTCACCTACCATTCTTATAGAAATAATGGCTACCAGAAGGATGAGGAGGAGAGGAGAGACAGGGAGAAAGAGGCCAGATGTACATAGAGTGATTTCATCGATTGTGTGAGAAAGCCCCATTGAGGACCGATTGCTTGAATGGGAGGCTAAGTTCATATTGGGCCCTTCCAAAACCAGGTTCCCCTCCGCTAATAGGGTCTGCCTACACTAAAAAGTTAATTCGAACTAACAGCCGTTAGTGTGAATTAAATTTAATAGCGGCTATACATGCACTTAATTCAAACTAGGTAAACCTCATTCTATGAGGAGTAACGCCTAGTTCAAATTAAGTAGTTCGAATTAAGGGCTGTGTAACCACTTAATTCGAACTAGCTGGAGGCTAGCCCTTCCCAGGTTGCCCTGGTGGCACTCTGGGCCAAACCAGGGAAACTCTTCTGCCCCGCTCCCAGCCCCGGAGCCCTTAAAGGGGCACGGTCTGGCTACAGTGCTTGTGCCAGTTGCAAGCCTACCAGCATCTAGCCAGCAGACCCGGCACCTGGCACAGGATGAGCCTGCTACTCGCTGCCGCCCTGCCCTCCACCTCTTCCCAGGACCAGGTTGGTGGCTCCCAGGAGCTTGCCTGGGGCCGCAAGAGGCGGGTGCTCGCCTGGTCTAGTGCGGAGATCATGGACCCCATCGAAGTTTGGGGGGAGGCCTCCAATGTCCACGACCTCTGCACTAGGCACAGGAATGCAGCCATCTACAGCCGCATGGCTGC